TTTTTTTTTTTGAAGACAGGGTCTCACTCTATCACCCAGGATGGAGTACAGTGGCTTGATCTCGGGTCACTGTAACCTCCACCTCCCGGGTTCAAGTAATTATCGTGCCTCAGCCTCCCAAGTAGCTGGGACTACAGGCGTGCACAACCATGCCCAGCTAATTTTTGTATTTTTAGTAGAGATGGGGTTTCACCATGTTGACTAGGCTGGTCTCGAACTCCTGGCCTCAAGTGATCCACCCATCTTGGCCTCCCAAAGTGCTGGGGTTACAGATGTGAGCCACTGCACCCGGCAACTTCTGCAAGTTCTCAACCACATATTTCATTAGGAACTGCTTGCCCTCCACTCTCTCTTCCCTGGCTAGGAAATGCAACAAAGGGCTCAGTTACCTTGAAGCCAGAAGCGGCAGAGCCCATTGCCCCTCCCCAACCAAACTAACCTGAGTCCCAGTGCAGCCTCATGGGACACAGCTTCCCAACTGTGATTTCTTTCTTTTTTGAGACAGTCTTGCTCTGTCACCTACGCTGCAGTGCAGTGGCACAATCTCGGTTTACTGCAACCTCTGCCTCCTGGGTTCAAGTGATTCTCCTGCCTCAGACTCCCGAGTAGCTGGGATTAAGGGCGCATACAACCACACCCAGCTAATTTTTGTAGTTTTAGTAGAAACGGGGTTTCATCATGTTGGCCAGGCTGGTATCAAACTCACGACCTTGGGTAATCTGCCCACCTCGGCCTCCCAAAGTGCTGGGTTTACAGGCGTGAGCCACTGTGCCCCGCCCACTGTGATGGTTTTAAAACATGGCCGCTTATTCTTTATCATGCCTCACATAGACAGGCAGTGCCTCTGTTCACTCCCCTTAAATCTAGGTACGCTTGTGACTAGTCTGACAATAGAATATGGCAGAATTGACACTACATAACTTCTGAGAAAAAGTCACGGAAGGCCCTGTGGCTTCCACCTAAGTTCCTGGAGCAACTAAGTAAGTGGAACTACTTGCTCTTGGAGCAAAAAGTACAGCTATCCTGAGGCAACCATGCTATACGAAGCTTTAGCCACACAGAGAAGTCCCGTGTAGTCACTCCGATCAATTGTCCCAACTAAGACAAATCTTGTCAGTCCCACATAGGTTCCAGACACGTACATAAACAAACATCCAGGCGGGGCGCAGTGGCTCGCCCCTGTAATCCCAGCACTTTGGGAGGCTGAAGCAGGAGGATTACCTGAGGTTAGGAGTTTGAGATCAGCCTTGCCAACATGATGAAACCTCATCTCTATTAAAATTACAAAAATTAGACAGCACGGTGGTGCATGCCCGTAATCCCAGCTACTCGGGAGGCTGAGGCAGGACTGCTTGAAGCTGGGAGGTGGAGGTTGCAGTGTGCTGAGATCGTGCCACTGCGCTCCAGCCTAGTCGACAGAGGGAGACTGTCTCAAAAAGAAAAAGAAGACCGGGCGCGGTGGCTCATGCCTGTAATTCCAGCACTTTGGGAGGCCGCAGGCAGGCGGATCACCTGAGGTCAAGAGTTTGAGACTAGCACGGCCAACATGGTGAAACGTCGTCTCTACCAAAAATACAAAAAAAATTAGCTGGACATGGTGGTGGGCACCTGTAGTCCCAGCTACTCGGGGAGACTGAGGCAGGAGAATCGCTTGAACCCAGGAGACAAAGGATGCAGTGAGCCTAGATCGCACCACTGCACTTCAGCCTGGGCGACTGAGTGAGACTCCATCTCCAAAAAAAATAAAGGAGGGGGGATGGCGGGGGCAAGTTCCCCAGTCTCGTGAGAAGTGCGTTTAGTCTTCACGCCAACTTCCACGCTGTGGCCCCTGCTTTCTGTGTAAGCCTCTCCAGAAAGACAAGATGGTGAAGGAGCTGAACCTGATGAAGAGTCAGTGAGTGGGGCACCTCTTCCTGTACCTCCAAAGAGAAGAATTAAAAGGAAAATATTCAGGCTGATTCAGATTAATTTCAGAGAGAGGACTTCCAGCCCTAAGGCATGTATTTGATAAGGCAGAATCCAAAGGTAAAGGTCATGAGGCTGAAGACTTGAAGACTCTAATCAGACACATGGAGCACTGGGCACACAGGCTATTCCCTAAACTGCAGTTTGAGGATTTTATTGACAGACGAATACTTGGGAAATAAAAAGGAAGTTCAAACCTGTTTAAAACGAATTCAACTTGATCTCCCTATTTTACGTGAAGATTTTGTTAGCAATAATGATGAAGTTGCGGAAAATAATGGACATGATGTATCTGCTACTGAATGAGATCCCTTTCTGATAAACTCATCTGAAAGTGAGATGTTTGCTTCTGAGTCAAGTAGAAGCCTAACAGAAGAGCAACAACGAAGAACTGAGAGAAATAAACAACCGGCTTGGAAAGAAGGCAGGCAAAGCTGCCGAGTAATAGTCCCTAGGAAATGATATGTTAATGAATACACAAGGGGCACAGACAGTTGAAGAGGTTAATACT